CAACTTCTCAGGATGGGTGGAAGCCTTCCCTACTTGCACTGCAAAAACCCCAGGAAGTGGCCAGGTGCCTGTTAAGGAAATTATCCCTCAGTTTGGAATGCCTATGTCTATTGAATGGACAATGAGCCAGCCATAATGGCTGAGGTGGTACAGTTGGTGGTTAAGGGTTTAAAAATAACTTGGAAGCTATGCACAACTTACCACACTCAGAGTTCAAGGAAAGTAGAATGTATGAACAGGACTCTAAAATTGCAATTGGGAAAACTATGTCAGGAGACCCACCTATAATAGGATCAGTTACTGACCATAGTCTTAGTCAGGATTAGGTCTAGCCCCAACAAATGGATGGGTCTCTCCCCTCTTGAAATTCTTTTTGGGTGCCCACCCCCTTTAGTCAAGGGCCTGCAAGGGACCTTAAGGAAATGGGTGACCTCACCCTGAGAAAGCAGATGCAGGCCCTTGGTTTGACTACCTCAAAAATCAATGACTGAGTAAGAGAGAGACTCCTTGTTAGCCTGACAACTCCCACATACCCTTATAAACCAGGGGATGCTGTTTGAGTAAGGGAATGAAGTGTTCAACCACTGAAGCCCCACTGGAGGGGCCCTTTAGTTGCTGTTTTATTCACCCCCACCACAGTTAAGGTAGCAGAGATCATTCCCTGGATCCACCACAGCCAAGTGAAGCCAGCTTCCCTCTAGTGGGAATGCATCCCTGACCCAGCCTCACCGTGCAAGATCACCTTCTGGAATGCCAGGGCCCTTCCCTGGCAGGACCCTTCTTCCCAGGAGACAACAGGAGACCACAAATGACAAGATATGAAACTGACTAGTCCACGCATGGTGGAAGCTTGATGAGTTGCCCATCTCACCTTTGAGGATGAGTCCCTTACGTGTTTTCTTTTTGCTAATCTTGGTCAGCTCTCTACCTGGGGACTCCCAGGTCTTGGACTGTGACTTATGCATGTGCACTACCCGAGTGGGAAGTGTTGTTACCAAAACTCTGGTTTTCCATACTTATTCTTGTGCAGGCACAGTTGTTGGGTCATGCACCCACAACCTACTCAGTGTGCTCTCATGACAGTCAGTATATCTGTTTTAAGTCCATCTTTCCCCCTCGGGAGCAATGGCTACATGTCTGAAGCTTTACCAGCACTGGGTAGCTTATTAGCCGGACACAGGTTTACAACCCCAAAAGGCCAATATCTATATACTTTGATGTGTGTGCTGTAATAGCTAAAAACTATTGACCTCAGGGTACTGGAGGCCTAACCTGGGATAAAACTTATACGTCAAATGATAAGTATATGTGCCTGGAAGACAGCTGCTCATGTGATGATGCTGTAAAATATAAACCCCTAGATCAAGATGATGCTCTTTGATCTAGAAGAGAGTCTGAGCACCAAAGGGGTGAATGTGGCAGGAAGGCAGGGAGGGGAAGGGAGATAATGAAAGACAATGAGGGAGATAATGAGAGATAATGAGTTCAACAGTGAACCAAACAAAAAATGGATTTGAGGAATGCCAAGTAGCACCTGGGGCTACTTGGTCCTACAACACAATCTCTCCCTAACTACTATATCATGAGAGCCACATAGCAAGGGAACAGCAGAGCTGAGATTTGAACTCAGTCAGTCTAGCTACAGAGTCCATGGTTTTTTGATTGTTAGCGTTACCATTTTGGTCTCGACATTTGATTCTGAAGTTGTGTAAATTCATCAAGCAAAAATCCAGAGGCTCATGTAGTTGAAATGAAATGCATGTGGGAGAGGAAGATCAGGAGAGATAATCCCTGTTTATGCCAAGTTAAGAAGTGTGGACTTTGAACTTAAAGGTAGTAGGGGAAGCCACTGAAAGCAGAAGGAATATTATCAAGGTCAAGTGCATAGTAGATCACTCTGGTATGTTTTGTTCCTTTAAATTTCCATACCATCCTGACATAATTTTCATTCCAGAGGTTGAGCTCTTTCTGATGATCTCATGTATTTATTTTTACTTTTTTTGAGAAAATTATAATTTAAGAAAATTTCAATTCATTTTTAATCTATTCATTGAACAAACACTAAGTGTTTTCAAAGGGTCTATGAAAATAGTAAGCTTACAAAATAGGCAAATGAAGGTATGATGGTTTGCATTATAAAACAATACTTAGATTTACAGATTTATGGGAAACTTCAGAATTATGTATTTTTAATTTGTTAAAGGAAAAGTATTTAAAATGTTTTTTTTTCTTTTGGCCATACTGGGGTTTGAACTCAGGGCCTTGTACTTGACAGGCAAGTGTTCTACCACTTAAGCCCATTAAGTTATTAGGTTATTTTTCACATAGGGTCTCCCTGTTTGCCCTGGCCAGCCTTGGGCTGTAATTCTTTTACCTGTGTCTCCCTCATAGCTAAGTCTACAGATGTGTAACACCATGCTTAGCATGTTTGTTGAAATGGGGATTCGGTGTCTTTTTGTCCAGACTAGTCTCAAACCACTGTCCTCCAGATCTCTGCATCCAAGTAGCTGCAGTTACAGGCCTGAGCCACAGCATCAGGCCCTAGAATTTGTTTTCTATTTATTAAAAAGACCATTTTATAAAATGCAGCACTTACGCCTTTTTTGTAATTGACTCAAAGGACCTAGATAAAAACTCCTATTACTAGTTAAGCCAGTCAAACAACATTTGAAAAACAAGTCTTCAGATGCCCTTGTTAACTACAAGGGCAGCATGCCCTCTTTTTTAATAATGAGATCCTTGAGCAGAAAATGATGGTTTACAATCTACCTCTGACACTGTCTGCATTCATCTGATAAAAAGATGCCACCCACACCCACACTCACACTATAGCATAATACAGAACAAACTTTCCTCATTGCCTGTCTGGAATCACACCTTTTGTTTAAAGGCTTTAAGTTTAATTCTCTCAGTTTTTAAAAGTGTAGAAGTTAAGCTGTGTAAGATTCCACAGGGAAAGTTTCCAGAACATGGTATATTTGTCACAAATCACCTTTCAAAGCAAGGGGTAACTGTTCTTGCAAGTTGGAATTGTAAAACAAGTAGGATTTTACATAAATTAAAATTAAAATGGCTTTTGTGGAACTAGAGGAAAATTTGTGCAATAACTTTTCTGTAATTTGTTCAAGTTGAAGATATTCATACATTATTGAGAAAGTATAAAATGAAGCCAGGGAGTAATCAGAACACACAAGTTTTTTTTTTTTTTTTTTTCTTTTTGCTGTACTGGAGTCTGAATTCAGGACCTCACACTTGTTTCCCAGGGGCTCTTACCACTTGAGCCACACGCCAGCCTGATCAGTGTCTTTTGACCATACAGTAATGAGACTGATTTTTTTTTCAGATGACTTAGTTACACAGAATGAGAGATTTAAAATATGTGTCTTCCTCAGCCAGGAGCAACAGCTAGACTGCCAAGAACAGTGGGTCATATGAGTATAAACAAAGTTGCCAATGCTCTTTTTCCATTTCACATGACTGTGGAAAGGAAAAGTGGAAAGGTAGCCTCAATAGGAATATAAATTCACATTCTGTAAATTGCAGTACATCAGTTGCCATATGCTATATTAGGACTAGTTATGGGTCATTAGTTATAATAGTGGAATTTCTTCTCAGACCAGCTTATTAAAAAAACGTGTCAAAATATCCAGCCCTGCTGAGTTAATTTCTCATATATAACTGGATAGTTTAACTTGGTACTTTATTCCCTCAGTTATTTTGATTAAAATCATAATATTGACCGGGAAAAATAGTTTAGAGTTGAAAGAATACTGGGGTCAATGCTTTTATGTTCATCCGTCATTGTCTTAGTATACTGTCTAAGGAAGCTGAGGTCTCATTTAATTTTCTTGAGTGTTTTGCATTGGCTCATTAGCACATGTTTTCAGCCTTTAATCCAATATAGTATATTGCATATTCCACGAGGGCTCTCCACTCTGTTAAGTGCGTAGAAGGTTCTGAAGAAATCAAACTTGGCTCATGTCCTCAAGGAGCTGATCAAAGACAAAGCTTGTGCTGGGTGTAGTGGAACATATTTTGGTAATCCCAGCACTCAGGAGGCTGAGGTAGGATAGTGAATTCCAGTCCAGTCTGGGTTAAATAGTGAGGCCTTGACTCAACTGAAAGCAAAAGCAAAAAACAAATCCAAATAAAACTTAACAAAAAGGTCTGGAGAATATGTATGTGCTATGACAGCTCAGCACTGCAGCAGGGATAGATTTCTGATTTATGCTGCAACATTTAATGCGGGACCATAATGTGCCAGAAGCCTTGCATGAATTCTCTCACACGACTATGACAGATTATGTGTGTTACAGGTATGATGCCTATTTTTCGATCCTTGATGTGGAAAGCATCACTTAATAGAATTAAGTGCGTGATGTTGTAAATGGATACAGACTACTGCTGTATACCCAGTGGTACTAATGATTGAACCAACTTGTTTCGTCAATCTTTGCATCTATTGTAATCTTACTATTTGCTGAGAAGGTAATGGAGGGGTATTGCTCCTTTCAGCATTTCAGAAGGCGTTGAGTGAGAACATCAGTGGCGGCAGAGGAAGATCCGGTGGAAGCGGCACTCAGGAGGCTTGATGTACGAGATGCGGGGCAAGCCAGCTATTTTAATTTAATCTTCTGTGGGCTGCGAGGCCACCTCTCATGATCCAAGGTTTCAGCGAGTTCTCCACCAAGGAGAGATCAGGCCAGGTGTTCACCGAGCGTGAGGAGGTGGGGAGAAAAGGCTAGGAAGACATTGAGCAAAGGAAATGACGCTGTCCAGCGCTGAGAGGAATGGAGGGTGGACGATGTGGGGTCTGCTGCCGTTCTGCTCTCATGGTCCAGAACAAGCTAGCCACTTGGAAAAGCACAGGTTCACGGAAAATCCTTCCCGCGGTGCTGACGTTATCTGGCGGTCCGCGTAGAAGGAGTCCTCAAGGGCAAGGGAGGAGGCAGTCACTTCGCGCACCCCTTCAGAAGCCATGAGGAGAGGCAGCAGCCAGCATGAAGCGGCCGTGCGGCGGAAGATGCTTCACAGGGCACCAAAGGCGCTTAGAGCCATTCCCCAGAACTAGGCCCATAAGGGCACAAGACGCGGCTCGACCCGGAGGGGGCCCCTCCCCGTATTGTCCTCTACCGCTCGGCGGGCGGGCAGTGGCGGCACGCCGGAGGCGCCCCGGGGCGTCAGTGAGCGCGCGTCGGCCCAAGCGCCCCGGCCGCCTTCGCTGCGCTCCTCTCCCGGTGACGCCTCGGCTATCCCGGCAACCGGCGCTTACACACTGTCCCTTGCGCTCCCGCGCCCAGTCTCGAAGATGGCGGCTCTTCAAACAGGCCTGCTCCTCCGGCTACGGTCTGCTGTATGGAGCTCCTCTGCAGTTTCCCCAGGGGTGACCTGGTCCGAAGGTAAAGTTGCGGCGAGAAGAGAAGGCAGCGCTGGATAAGCGGCGGACGGAAAGCGGAGGCAGTGCCGCGTTTCTCTGTTGGACCCTCGCCCCGCCTTCGGCCCCGGAACTGGCATCTGCGGCGCGGCCCCGTGCACCGGCGCGGCCCTGGGGCTGTGGCCTCGCCGCGCCTTGGGATGCTCGCCCTTCTTGGTTCTGCATCCGCTTCCCTGATGGCGCGGATGAGGCCAAGCCGCGCGTGGAGAGACTGAGAAAGGGCAGGAGGACGCCGCCGCGCCCTGTGGGGCTGGTGCGCGTTGCCTTAGGCGCGGTGAAGACTGGGGAGTGGCTCGATTTTTTTTTTTTTTTTTTTTTTTTTCCCCGGGGGGGCCCCCGCCGCCACAGGCCCGGGAGGGACGGTTTAGGAGGGGAAAGGGTGGGGAAGGCAAAGGTAGGTTTGCGTCCCACCTGGGGAACGCCCGGCATAGGCGCCTCTGAAGGCCCAGAACCCCCGGGCGGGCCGAGCAAGGCTGGCTGGAGTTCACTGCCAAGGGGGCGGATGCTGAGGGCGGAGGGAGTGGAATGCCGCTCCCCATCCTCTCCTTCCCTATATGGCTCTGCTGCACCGCGGCGGTGGGAAAGGGAACCGTATGGAGCTAGGTAAGGTCTGGCAGAAAGCTGTTGCACTCGTGTAAGAGCGGGGACGGTGCGCGTTCGCTCCGAGGGCCTGGTTTAGGGAGTCCCCGTTCAGGGGACCTTTCATTTGAAGTTGTCTCGAAACACGGTTTGCAACCCCGCCTGGCTTTTTCAATCTACTCGGCATGGGGCGGGGTAGTTCGGCAGTGACAACGCTCGGTTGGAGAGTTAAAAGCAGGGGGCAACCGGTTTCGAGAAACTTTGCCAAATGTAAAGTCCCCAACCGGGAGCCTAGGGGGGCGCGAGGAGGAAGACGGCAGCAGAACCCAGACCCAGCACAGTGGCAGTGGATTGAGGCATGTTTTTGCCCCATGCAATGGGTCCCACCTGTAAGCCCACTGGAGTGGAACGCCTGGTTCACAAGGGTGACTTTACCTTGGCCACTCCAGTTATCTCAGGAACCTCTTCCTTCAACGGGAAGATGTTTTCTTTTCTAATATACTGGAAGTAGCTTCTGGCTTGTACTTAGTATGGCCGTACAGGTGTGTGTCGTGGTCAGTACATGTGTGCTCAGAACTCCTGCCCCATTAATGCTAGGGAGTGATTCACATCTGTATTATTTCATTCTTAAATTCCTCTTAGGAGCATTTTGGTAATTGCAGATAACTTTGGATATATAAAACATTACTGAAAGGGAACTTGACTTTCTGTCAGATTGATGCTAGTGCTCAAACTGATAGAAAAATCCAGGTCGCAAGGATGCCCTTGGGCCAAGGTTAAGCACATTCCTTCTTTTGGCAGTTACTTGTTGTCCAAGTATAATTTACTCCCTCTCAGTCTTTTCCACCTTGAATATAATCATTAAACCATTTCCTAAACCAGAAGAACTCTTTTAGATGGATGAGCTACAATTATGGGTTTTGCTGTATCTCATTAAAAGTTTATATCAGAGTTCAAACTTGGGCCTTTCAAGTGTGACATCTAACTCCCGCTCAGAGCCCTCCCCCAGTACATGGCATTGAGTGTCCTTACTGCTAATTTATCACCTAAATCTTCACCTCCTAGATCTGTTGAACTGTAACACCTGTATATTTGTTTTAACTTAGTCTCAGTCTCCCTCATCATGACACACTACTTCTCAAAAAACAGACATTCTACATGTTTAATACACAGATGAGAGAACCCTGCAAGTTTACTACTTTACTACTTAGGGAGTAATCTTGAGAGGTTTTTTTTTCCTTGTCTAAATCTAACCAATAAGTAAAATGAGATAGTTATTTAAAATGTTAATTTTTTTATGATGGACTATGCATTTTCTCTGAAACTTTAGCATGTATCAGAATTACTTGGAGATTTTATAAAACAGACTGCTGTGCCCACCTCCAGAGTTTCAAATTTAGTAGGTCCTGGATAGAGCTCCCTAGTTTTCATTCATTATGCATAACCTCTTCTTGGCAGTGATGCTAGACTCCTGGGGGGTGAGGGGAGAGCTCTTCGTAAGTGCTTTCCACCTGCATTTTGGTGCATTTTCCTTCTAACGTGGTTTATTTCACCACTTTCCAGATGCCCTCTCCTGCCCATGTTTGTTTATCAGACTTTGATGCTGAAGTGAGCAATATCAACCTTTCTGTGTCATGATTTATTTAATAGTAAGTTGACAAAGTCAATATCTGGGTGTACAGTTCTGTATTATTAGGATCATATTTATTTAAAAACAAAAAAGCAATATGCTTTATGTATATACATTGAAAGATTGTCCAAGAGAAATGCATTTTTTTCTAAATTCTGAGGTTCTGAATGACAGAAAATAAAGACATTTAGGTGAAAGAAATCATAGTGACAATGAGTAGTTAGAAAAGAAGGGAACTCTGGATTGTCATGAGATGAAATGTAGGTCCGACTGTAGAATAAGATCTTGACTGTTAAGTGTAGGAGCATCAAGTGAAGGTGAGGAGGGTGTTAGAGGAGAAATAGATGAAGTAGAAGAAATTTGAACTGTAAGAATTTTGATTATTTCTTCCAGTTAAGTACTCAGTCATTACTATTTTCCTCCCTCAATTGTAACAGCAGAAAGTAGTGCCAACATAAAACATAGTTGTATTGAGGGTAGGAGTGTGGAAAAACACAATGCAAAACTTGTGTCACTATAAAAGAGGACCCAGAGAAAATTATGCCTTCTCATTCTTTTAGGTAGTTGACACAAACTTGAAGGTTATTTATTTATTTTGGTAGCAGCTGGTGCATTTTAAAAAACACGATTGTGTTAGTATATATAATGTATTAGAAGGTAGAGATCCATTTAGGAGCAGCTTAAAGCTCCTCTTTGAACTCAATTACCTAAAATAAAAGGCAGAAGTTAGCAGAGACACACTTTTCTGCAATTGCCTAATAGTCGAAAGTGCTGGCAGTGACATGGATATACCCTGACTCCCAGGGACAGGGAGTATTGGTAGAGAATGGGAGTCTGGAGGAAGCTGGCTAAGAGAGCAAACCAAAAGCTTCCTCTAAGCAGCTGCCTTCCAGACTCTAAGCTGCTTTCTGGGTTTTGGGCTTTGAAGATTCCTGTGTCGCAATCAGCAGCTGGCATCCTGTTTCCTTTTTGTCCCACTTTTTTTTGTGTGCTTGCACTGCTGGCTTGCTCAGCAATTTCTGAATATCCAGACTGGCAAGCTTGATTGCAAATAAGATTGAACATGTTGCTGGATACAGTGGTGCATACCTTTTATCCCAGTCACTTGGGAGACTGAAGTAGGAGGACTGCTTGAGCCTAGGAACTTTGAGACCAGCCTAGGCAACATAGCCAGACCCTGTCCAAAACGAATACATAAATACATACACAAGTGTTTAAGCAATCAAAAGGCTTAGACTTTTTTTTTGGCGGGGGGTGGGGCCTCAACAGATATCACACATATTAGTTTGCTATGGTATGGGTCATTTAAAATTTTTTTGTGACTGAAATCAGTGATGTGTGTGTCCAGGACAGAATGGTGAGGTTAAAAATTAAAATCCAACTCCAATAAGTGACAAATTGATCTTACTGTCTTAGTGGGGAATGGGGAAAAGGTGACATTCCCCAAAGGAAACTAACATCCCCTAGATATATTCTGTAGACCAGGCATAGAGCTTCTGTATGTAATTATTTATCCTAACTATATCCTTGGCAGACAGTTGCCATATTTTTATACAATCAAGCTCCCCACCTCTCCCCAGCCCCTCAAAAGAAATACTCAGTGGCTAAGTAACTTTCTCAGATTCACACAATTGTGACTGAACTGGAATTTGACAGGAGGATACTTTTGAACCCAGAAGTATGTGGCCTGTTATACCATATTGTCTCTCAAACTAGGTGTTTGTTTTCTGAGGACAAAAATAGTTGCATTAGGCTGGGGATTGTAACTCAGTGGTAGAGCACTGGCTAGCATGCATAAAGCTGCATGTTTTAGATAGATGCTGCATGCATAAAGTCCTTGGAACTGAAAAGAAACAAAACAAAACATTTGTTACATAAAAGTTGGTTTCTCAGTAAATAGTACGGAGGTATCAAATGTCAATAGAACATACAACAATGTCAAATTCTATTAATCAAATGTATGAATAATGAAAAAACACCAAGCTGAGTGCCTATAAAGTTCTTCATTAATTTGAATTTTTTTCTTAGTCTCTGGAAACATGTCACTCTTACTGCTTTAGCTTTTGGTTATCTGGATCAACTTACGCCTTTTTACCCCCCTGGGGATCAAACCCAGTGTCTCAAGTGTGGCAGGTAAGCACTTTGTCACTGAGCTATACCCCTAATCCAACTTAGTCTTTTCTAACATATTTCTGAGAGGCTTCTTTGGGATGGAGGGCAGAGTGGGATAAGATGCTGGGTAACTTGTGTTATAAAAACACTAATCTCAGCTTCAACAAAGGGGTGAGCTTCTTGGCAAATCTATGGTCAAGTGCTTTTGCCTTTCTTAGTGAATCTGAAAAGCCTCTCTGGCTGTTTGGGGGAAATGAGTTTTTTTCTAACTTATTCTCCATGAAATCCATATTTCTCAGTGTATAAATAGTTCAAGTTGACCTTACTTCCAGGACTGTTTGGGTGTAGATGAATTCTTTCATTTTCTTCTTCCTGCTAAGACCTGAACACTTCACTCTAAGGTAGAGATAATGACAACAGAGTTATATATGAAAAAAATAGGACACTAATAAAGATTTGTTGTGTATAAATAGTGAAGTAGAAGTAAAATACAACAAGCACTTTCAGAAAACAAGGAAAGGTGCATATTATGGTAGAAGGACCATGTGAGAGGTAGTCAAAACCTTGAATCTGGTCTTACTTTAACACAGTTTTGGTAAATTGCAAAATCTTTTTAAATTTCAGAAACTTGACCTGTGAAATGAGTTGGTTGGATTAAATATCATGTATTTTATTATTTTTTTTCTAGAAGATAGCCACAACTTTAGTTTACAGTCCACCAATGGCCTGTTTATTCAATCTATCAAAAAGTTTAATTACGTTTAAAAATGTGTGTGTGTGTGTGTGTGTGTGTTTAAGACAGAAGGAAATAGATCCTGGAGGACAGGAAAGCGAAGAAAGTGCTATGTGACTCAAACCCCTTCCTCTTGTCTCTGCCTCCACTTGTGTCCCAGGGTCTAGGCAATTGCTCCTCACTCGACCTTGATCAAAATACAGATTTAAAGGGACAAAAGTCATTGCATAAGCCTTACCTTTTTATTGTCCATGTGACTCTCTCAATACAGTTTTTATGGTCGTCTATACTAATTGACTTTTTTTATGAGAGCAATTTTTAGAGGGTGAAAAGAATGATTATCACTCATTATGTTTTTACCTTGGCCACCTCAGGTTATGTCTGTCTGGAGGACTGTTAGGAAGTGAAGTGGCTATTACCTTCCAGCTGGGCTTGTTATATCAGGATTCAGATGTTATTCTTTCTACCCCTTCTCTTTTCAGGTTGACTATATAATGAGAGTAAAGGAGAGATAATGTTGAGTGTGAATGACTGGTTACCATACAATCTGCTTTCTCATTGTCTCTTGTAAGGAAAATAGTTAACAACTGGTTATAAATGCTCATTAGATGACTCATTTGGGATCTGTCTTATTCAGTTTTCAGTTGCTATAACAAAATATTTCAGTCTGGGTAAATTTATTTAACTCACGGAAGCTGGAAGTCCAAGTTCTGGAGATTGTATCTGGTAAGCACTGTGCACTGTGTCATAGAAGAGCAGAATGGCAGAAGGGCAAGCAGGCATTTGCAGGAGATGCAAAACACAAGGGAGCCTCACTTTATAATAATCCATTCTTAGAAGACATTAATCCCGTGAGGGTGAGAACTTGATCCTGTAAGAATTAACCAAGTCCCTGGAAAGCAGCATTAATTTATCCCTTCATGTGGGTGCAAACACCTCTTAAAGTTCTCACCACTTCTCAATGAACAGATTCAGCACAGGTTCTGGATGTGACAAATCATCTTCAAACCACAGCAGGACCAAATAGTTCATTATGGTAAAGGTAACCCAGCCTTCCTTGCAAGTAATAGTTTGCTACTTTTCTACACATCCTTAATTTCACCCCATGGAAATGAGTCATTATTAGTGATCCTTTTTATTTGTCCCTTTAGGAGTTATTCTCTGGCACCTAAGGTCAGATAAGAGGCTCAACTATGTATGTATTTACAATTTTGATCATAGTGTACTTAATTTCTTGGAGAGCAGCACTCATGCCAAAATGCTATGTTGGATTAAATAACACAGAATATAGCATGTGTAGCTTCTCAATAATTATTTGTTGACTGAATGGGAGCTAGGTTATAATTAGAAACTGATGTTTGGAGAGACCATTATTATGAATTTGAATTCCAGTATACAGACTACCTACTTTTGTTCTTGTGGGTGGCCACCAGTGTCACAGTTGACTCTCCCTTGTGTCATAGAAGACATGAATCACAAGGGAATTCCAGTGATTATTTGTGGGCAGAATGTGTCCATCTTTTAATGAAAAATCTCTTACAGTTTGGCTTTAATGTCTGTATGTTTTTAACAAAGCAGGAAAATCAAGTGATAATGCAATGTAGATGAGAAGTGCCATTTATTTTATTACTTTTAAAGAGGTGTAGTGTCATAGAGATAAATAGTGGTTAGCAGAGGGCTGGGGAGATGTTGGTCAAAGTACAAAAGTTCAGGCAGGAGGAATAATTTGAGGAGTTCTATTGTATATCTTGGCAACTATTTAAATTTTTCCTCTTTCTATTAGCATATATAAAAAGGGGTTTCCTTGTGGTATTTCTCACATAATGTACTTTGATCAAATTTTCCCCTCTATTACTTTCTTCACCTCTCTCTCCTCCCCTTTTTAAACAATTTTAATGAGTTTCATTATTCTGTTTTTGTACATGTATATAAAGTACTTTGATCATATTCACCTTCCCTTTCTCTCTGCTTTTACCCTCCTGCTGGTCCCCTTCCCAAACAGTCCACTGTTTTTTAGGTCTAGACTCTGCATAAAAGATAGAGCATGACATAGTTGTCTTTCTCAGTCTGGCTTATTTCACTTGACATGGTGATTTTCAGTTCTATCCATTTTCCTTCTTTATGGCTGAATAATACTCTGTTGTGTATGTATGGTACATTTCCTTTATCCACTTATTAGTTTTATAAACCCCTAGGCTGATTCAATGAGTTGGCTATTGTGAATAGTGTGGCAGTAAACATGGGTGTATAGGTATCTCTATTATTGTATTTTGACATACATGTCTTTTCATGTATGCCAGGAGTAGTATAGCAAGATTTTACCATAATTCTGTTTTTAGTTTTCTGTGGAACCTCCATACTGATTTCCATAGGGGCTGTACTAATTTACATTCCCATATGGTGAATATTTTTAATAACAATAGATTGTATACTTAAAAACTGTGAAAGAATACACTTTAAGTGTTCTTACCACAAAAGAGTGATATGTGAGGTGGGTGTGGTGGTAAATACCTGTAATCCTTATACTGGAGAGGCTGAGGCAGGAGGATTGAAAGTTCAAGGCCAGATTTGGGTTACATAGAGAGATCCTGTCTCAAAACCAAAAAAAAAAAAAAAAAACCAAAAACTCCCCAAAAAAGTACATGAAGTGATGATATGTGAAATAGCTTAAGTCTTTTTGTAATGTGTGTGTATTTACATCTATCTACATCTATATCTATATATCTCATGTATATATGCTGTAAAATGCAGTTTTTACTTATCAATTAAGAAATACAAAAATTTGTGAAAATATAAAATTTATAAAAAATGCAAAGTTACAAAAAGGGGACATGAACTCATCATTGTGAATATAAAATTGTGAATAAATTATTGTGCATGTAAAGTAAAGCTCCATCTCCCAATGATCATTGACTGAAAAGTGTTTTTAACCTTCCAGGGCTGTGTTTGCTACTTTTCCACCAGTACTTGTCGTCACACCAGATTTTACACGGATCCAGTGGAAGCTGTAAAAGACATCCCTGATGGTGCGACATTGCTGGTTGGTGGTGAGTAACAGTATTATTTGCCCTTTGGTGGTTATGTCTTTATGTTTTTAGCAAAATAGGAAAATCAGGTGATAAAACTATGTAAATGAGAAGTACCAATCATTTTATTACTTAGTTATTATTTATCTCACTATTCTATTTATTTATTACACATTGTAATAGCTGCTACTTTTGTGAGGTTTAATGCTTCATATTTACTTTTTCTGTCCTTTTGTCATTTGGTGTCATGTCAATGTTGATGTCTCCAGTATTCCCCTTGCCCCTCTTATTATGGAACTTCAAAGAGGTGATGTCTTATCAGTAATTTTGAGGAATCCATAGTTCATGGGAGTTCTGTTTAATTTGCAACATTTGCGTAGAGCTCATCAGCTTACCCTAGCCACTGCTTTTATTACTCCTTATTTGTTGAGCAGGAGAGCAAATCAGCATTTATCTGTTGTTGAGCCTCCCACATTCTGTTGTTTCTTCCTGTTTGGAATGTCTTAGAATCACTGCCTCACTTTCTGATTCTTATAAATATGATCAAAGCTTATTTTAGGTCTATCTGCCATTCATTCATTCAACTGGTTAGTCATTGAGTGTCCATTTTAAATCTAACACTATTTGAGGAGTTGTGGAAGATGTAAAGAAGGTTATTGGGCTAGTCTTCTAGTTCTGTAAAATTTCTTCAGGCTGTAAAACAAATGTGCTTGCATATGTAGCTGTACAAAGTGGGGCAATAATAGATACGCAGTATATAAACTTGTTATACTTGGCTTTATACTTATGATTCAAAGACTTGACAATGGTGACTGGTGCTCGACAATGGTGCAAAACATTTGGATCCATTTATTTGGCCATTTATTGAGTTGCTGAGATATAGCTGCATATTTTGCTTAGATCTAATTATATTCTTCATTCCTCTGAAAGAACATTACCTTCTTCATAAATCATATCTTTTGTACTGATTGTAGGTTTTGGGTTATGTGGAATTCCAGAGAATCTTATAGGAGCTTTATTGAAGACTGGTGTAAAAGGACTTACTGCAGTCAGCAACAATGCAGGGTAAGTGAAAAATTTTAAAATAATTAGCTTGAAAGTAGTGTCAATTCTTAACATTTTAAAAATTTATCAGTTAAATTAAATTTTCCTCTACATGAGCAATATATTCAAGCATCAAGAATGGTTGCAAAGGTCAAGAGTGGAGGTTACATTTATTAAAATATTTTGATACCATCCTTCATAATCATAAGTAAAGCAGATTTGTTTTATAGTATATGAATATGTAAATTAAGATTTTATATCTTCATCTGCTGTGCTTTTATTTTTGTAAATTTAAAATGTATTGTTAAAGTTAGAAAAAATATTTTCAAATATACTCCTGCATTTTAAGATTTAGGCATAGTCCTTATGTTCTTATTATGACAGGTCATTATTTGTAAATCCAGATGGACATCAATTTGAAATCTGCTTCAGATTATTTCTTTTGGTTATACCATCACTGTAGATGATATGTGAAGGAGTATGTTAGTCATAAAAAATGTTGCTGGTTCTGGTGGAATGTTGAGTATAAGCAACAAGACAGTAGGATTGTTATCAAAATGGTCAACAAAAACCATCATTTTAGTAAAGGCATGCACATTTAGGTTCATTTAGCTGTGTTAGAAAAAGCCATTTGTATATAAAATAGTAAATCATCAGCTTTCTTTCAACAATGAAAGAAAGCCTTTAAAGACTTAAAAAAATTAAAAGTAATCAAATTGGCCTACTGTTTAAAGGTAATTGAGAATAAACAGTACAGATTATTTAGGAAACAAACTGATGCTACATTCCTGAGTTTGTTATTTCATCTGGAAGGTTCTTTTTCCTCTCCTCTGCCTATCCACATTCTTCTGTCGTTCAGGGTCCACTCATGGTACACATCTTCATCATACCCACCAAATTACAGAACTTTTCTAGTCTTCACTGATGATGCCACTTTCTGAATTCCTTTATAGGTTTTTAGCTTTTCCTTGTATACTGAAGTGTATTTATTCAACATATATTACATACAGAGTCTGTTACTTAGAGTGGTTGTACATGCCTTGTCTTTAGCCTGTGAGTCTGAGTCATGGCGTGTTGGAGCTGAGTGGGGTTGTAGAGATCATCATCTGCTCACTGTGTGTCACAGGGGACTCATCTGTCGATGGAGAAGTAACTTGTTCCTATTACCTGGCATTTGAAAAGCATGCCTATGCTCTTTGATCTGACTTGACTTATTACAAATACTTCTGGTTATCACTACTTGGGTTTTTAGATAGCTCCTGATGCATCTGCAGAGTTTAATGGGTGTGTGTTCTGAGAAACGCATAATTACATGATTTTATCATTGTGTGGACATAAGAGACTACAGCAGCACAACCACAGCACCTACAACATCACTGGGTGATATAATCTTATAGCACTGCTGTGGAATATGCCATCTGTTGGTGCCCAACTACAAATTCCCAAAGCCAAGTAGGTGTTGGATACAAAGGTGACACTTTGCAAACACTCATTGGCAGTTGATTCTCTTAATTAGGAGGGTTTGAATCCTAGAGAGCTACAAGAATGAGGGCTATGCTTTCACTATTAAAGTTAGAGAAATGTAACCAAGCTTCATTGGAGAATCAATGACATGTCTTCAAATTTTTGGGTAAATGGAGACAACTTGAAATTCACAGTAGTTTGCTGCTCTCTCATTTGAAAGAACCTATTTTTATGAAAGGATCTGTTTGAATTGGAAGCTTTCCCGAAGCTCAGGGTTCCCTGGTTTTCTGTTTTGTTTTTGAATTTTGAGATAGAGTCTTGCCATGTAGCCCAGACTGGTGTGGAACTTGCTTCCTACCTCAGTCTCCCACGTGCTGGTATTGTAGGCATGTATGACCACATTTGGCTTGTTTTTTTTTGATATTCAATAAAGCCTATTGTCATAAGATACCACTTATCTTGGTATGAACTATTAGTTGTGAACTTTGATGAGATAAATTCTTTAGGAACAGCTGAACCAATGTTTTGATATTGCTGGTTAGGAAAAATTGGAGTATATACCTTTTGTTGATTTTTGGAGGTATTTGAGTTAGAAGCCAGTATATTGTGAAACCAAAAGTTTCACAATAAAAATTCATTGAACCAATTAAATCACAGAGCCAGTGGAAGAATGGGTGCTTTATGTTAGATATGCTCATTTCCTTATGACAAGATTATTTTAAACTATAGTTCTAGAAGGGTGGGATATAGATGGCTCCAGGAGTAGCCATACTTACAGGTGGGAGGCTAGTTAGTACTAAATGGTAATATATGTACCTGTACTTGTGACTACTTGTGTATAGTTCTATACTAGTCATGTATAGGAGGTTTTTTGTGGGTCCTGTGAGCAGTCCCTCACTCTAAATAAAGTTTCTGATTCTGCACCAATGCCTTTTAACTTGGAGATAAAGAGAAATGGTCTCTGTGCTGTACCCTCTTGCTTTTTTGTTGATACAGCCACAGCTCGGAAGAGCTCATTGAATAAACATAGGCCACCTTGGCTAATTATTATTATTATTATTAATTATCATTGTACTAGGGGTACATTGTGACATTTACAAAAGTTTTTACAATAGATTATAATTGGATTCACCCCCTCCATCATCTCCTTTATCCTCTCTCCCTCCCACCATTCCTGGAATAGTTTCAACAGATCTTATTTTTCCATTATCATACATGACTACATATTTCCACCATATTCACCTCCTACATCCTTTCCTTATGGGAACCAATTCCCAGATAGAACCTGTTTTACCTTCCTGTTCTCCATTTTTGGAAAAAAACCATTTTTGTTTATGTAAGATAGCCAGACAGGGAGTTTCCTTGTGACATTTCCATGTGTATATGGGTTATAATCCGACTTGGTGCATGCCTTCTATTTTTATTTTTCTCCTTTCTACCTTAGACCCATTCTTACTGTGATTTCAGAAGGTTTAAAAATTCTGTATTTATTATTATTTTTTTAAATTTAAATTTAAATTTTTTTCTTTTATTCATATGTGCATACAACATTTGGTTCATTTCTTCCCCCTTCTACATCAACCATATTCACTTTCTTAACTTTCTTCTTTTACCCTCCCTTTCCTATTAGTGACCTCCCTTTAGTGTGTGACCTTTTTCTTTTTTTCTTTTTTTTTTTTTTATAGTATTGCTTATATTTGTATTGGGTCTGTATGCCACATATGAGAAAAAACATATGGCCTTTGGTTTTCTGAACCTGGCTAACTTCACTTCACCTTGGCTAATTATGACTATTCCTCAAGATTTGGTTATTTTGTCTAACAAAGGCCAAGTGCTTCCTGAGATGTGTACCTGAATTTCTATTCTTAGCTCATAGAAGATTTCATTTGTTCCATATAATCATGGCATAAATAAACCTTATACTCAAATATAACATTTTCTTTTCTTTTGCTACTTTAATATTATCAGAGTATATATAAGTTGTATGATTGAGATTGAAATATGTTCCTAAATGAAAAGTACACAAGAAAAATACTGTTTGGTAAATGATTGAAGTTTCATTTTTATTAGTTTTATTTTGAAACAGATTGCCAATTAGTGAGATTTCATTAAATGAAAATTCAGCAAATTTCAGATTCAGAAAATGAAGAGTATTTTCAGAACATTGATTTCTTCTATGCAATATCTTTTTGCTATACGTTAATGTATCTCTTTAAGAATATTTGGTTTTAGACTTCTCTTAGCCCCTAAAGTGTTTTAAATCCCTAACTCTGTTGTACTGCGGGAAAAAGATCAACTCTTTCTCCCTTTAGGCATTCTAGTAAAACATTGGCTACTGAAAACAAGCAGCATAATCTATTTGAACGTCCATCAGCATGTCTTTAACATCAAAGAAAATACTTTTCTATATAGGTTTCTCTATTAGAAATGACATGTTCCTCATTTTCAGAAGATCACCTGCTCTTTCTCTTTATATTGTATTGTAAGATCTTGAGTTAGGGACTTAGTTTACTCATTTTTTATCATTAATATTATTAATGATATTAATTAATAATTATCACTAATTATTATAATTAATAATAATTATATTATTATCATTAATAATTATTAATGATATTATTAATATTATCACTAATATTAAGTCATTCATGTTTGCTGGATTTGTGAATTGGAGGGTGTGTGGCAATGCACACTGTAATTATAATCTATCTAACAGTATTTTCAAGCATGAAAACTGACATTTTATCTGATTCTAGTGGTAGCCTGGGCAAGCATCTTAAGCACTGCTTGGTTGCTATGCCAGCATACTAATCTAAAACAAAGCAGAGGTCAAATCCACAATGTTCAGGAGCCAAGATCAACAAATACAGAAAGGTCATCTTTAAATAGAGCCAAGTTCAAATGTGTAATGTGTTGAAAAGCCAAACAGAGAGGTATGAAAGAGTAGTTAGAAAAATTCACAGATCAATAAATGACCATATTCGGGTTTCTAGAATGGTTGGGTAGTCTTGAGGGAGTTTCAGATATTTAAAACTACAGGAAACAAATGTGCTGTATCTACTTCAATGGATAACTTAATGGTTATAATTTTATTAGTCAAGGCTCTGGATAATATCATTGGTATTCTCATTACTGGATAATTGAGGAGTTTATCAAAGGGGTCCTTTTTAAAGGTTTGATTAAGGCTGAGAGAAAACGTGTGTAATAAAGAACCCTAGAGTTAGTAACAGAGGGGTACTGTTTCCCCTAGGTTTAGGGCAGACGGGATTAAGGGAAGGAGCTGTTATCAGTATTTAGAAGAAAACTTGAGGTAGAAGGCTCTCCAACTTGTTGCAACTTGTGAGGAAGAGAAGCAGAGGAATTGTTCTGTCATCCTCCTGAGGATTCCCCTTGACTGAACCCAATCAGAAGGCAATGGCAAGGGAGCTCCTTGATTTCAGTATACAGGTAAGCCATCCCAGATACAGAACAGGCTGGAAGTTGGAACATGGATCCAGAGAGACAAACAGAAAATAATAATGACTTTAATTTTTATTAGGTTTTCATTTTTATTAGAGATGAGGGGCAAAGTGGAATTGAGAAGTAAATCTTCTTCACAAATATTCAACAAGTATTTATGTAGTTCTCTTTCCTAGCTGCATGTGCTTGGGTAATAAAAGTGAACAAAACAGATAGAGGTATGTGCCCTGGGGAATTTCCATTCTAGTGGGTAAAGTCAACATAACAAATAAGTACGTTTTCCAGTATGTTAGAAAGTTTTGTGTGCTATGAAAAAAAGAAAAACAGCAAGTCGGGGGATTGGGGACATGAAAGTAGAGGGACAGATTTCAGTATTCTGGGATGAGAGAGATGACATTTTTGCAGAGACTTGTAAGAAATGACAGGGGAGCCATTCAGACACCTGTGGGAATGGCTTCTGAGACAGAGAAAGGCCAGTGTGAAGGCCAGAAGGGAGCTGGCCTGGCATATTTGAGAAACAGTATAGAGGCAGGAAAGCACTGGAGAAGAATGGGAGGAATGAGGTTGGAGACATATGTGGTTCAATTCCGGATAGATTTTGAAGGAAGAGTCAGGGTTTCCCAGTACATTTAATGTGGAAAATGTGAGAGAGAAGATCACTACATTAGTTTTGCATTGAATATGTGTAAGGATGGGACTGCCCTCAGGTGAGATGGGGAAGGCTATAGGAGAAGCTGAGTTTAGGGGAATAGAATTGTTAATCTGAAGACTGGGAACCCAGCCAGGCATTAGGAGTAGATTAAGAAGAAAAAAGAAAAAGTCAGAAAGCATTGTGTGCAGGAGAGAGCATTAGGGAGAGGTTGCCGTAGAAAGATGGAGAATCTTTAACGATCTGGAGACCTCTAGTGGACAACTGTATTATTGACTTGCAGGCAATTCTCCCCGTATCTCCAAAGTGCACCCTTGAAAATGCTTGTTATTTGGCTGTTAACTTTTTTAAATCAAATGACAATAAATCATAAATACTATAGCTATCTTTATAACCATGGTGAATGGTAAATGTTACCAGACTCAATATTTGAAGGCTAGGCCTATAAAACAAATGCAATGGAAAGTTAACAGTTACTTGTTGCCTGGACATGTTGAAGTGTACAATGCGCAGTACTGCTGGAAGAAGTCATGCATTCTAAGAATTAGGAAGGGGCCACTTGAGCTGGAATGCACATTGGTGGGCATGAGGAGTATGAGGATTGAGAGTGGAGCGAAGGTGGAGAAAAGGTGGTTGTTAAAAGAAATGTCAGTGGTTTGTCATGAAGGCTGCCATTCTTAGCATCTTTACTTGTCAAACAAATAGATGTCCTTAGTGGTCATTAATATTCCTCAGTCCACACTTCTATTATGTTCCATTTCCAAGGCCAGAATTCTTCATTTGTCCTGGATTGGCAACAAGTCATATGAATGAATAATTCACCCCAAATATCTCTTTGTTGCCCATATTCCCCATTCATGTTGCCTCTGCCTTACTTCAGATCCCCATCATTGCTTGTTTGGATTATTTCAAGTCTCTTAACTGGTCTCTCTGCATTTTGTTTCTGAATCTCTTCAATATATGTTATTATTTTTCTCCTTAAAATTATTAATAGAGTCTCTTTGTCCTTCAGGATGAAACTACATAATAACTGATCCTCCTTGCACACTTCCTGCTGGGCTTCTGCCTCTAGCCCATATCCCAGTCTCACTCAGCATGGAGCTTCCTGAGCATCACGGCAAAGCTGCTCAGCTGCCTCTTGCCTTCAGCACCTCTATCCCCCCATTTTACTCTCAAAGTCTATTTTTTTTTTTTTTGCTTCCATACACTTAAATGTCACCTTCTGTAAGGCTTTTTCCTTCAGATAGGCTTTTTCTTCTGGGTCTTCACATTCTCATCACACATCATGCAGACTTCTCTTAGCACTTCTCTATCACTACATTTCTGCCTTAAGAACTATTGAAGTGAAGAGTAAAATAGAAGGGTGAACATTTCACAAATGTACAAGTGAATTTTTATAGACTACACTCATGTAACCAACATCCGGATAAAGACACAGAACATGGCTGACTCCCAGAAAGCCACTCAATGTTCCTTCCATTTGCTACATGTCTTTCTTACTACCATTACCCTCACATCTGACCTCATATATTAATTTTGTATGATTTTGAAGTTCACATAGAAGGAATAATTCATTATGTACCCTTTTGTGTTTGGGTTTTTTGGGTCAACATTTTGACTAAGATTCACCCGTTGTTGCTAGCGGTTGTAGATTGTTTATTCTCATGGCTGTATCATGTGCCACTGTGTGGATAAGCGTAGTTTATTCTACTTTGGAAGGGCATTTGGGAGGGTCCAGTTTTGGCTATAATGAGTAATGCTGCCATGAGGTTCTTGTGTATGTCTCGTGGTGAACCTAAGTATATGCTCCTGCTGGGTACCAATAGGAACAAGCATGGACTTGCTGACTCATTGCACATGAATGTGCTCAGCATTAAAATGCACTGTCAGTAGTTTGTCCAAAGTGGACATATGAATTTATATTCTCCTCAGAACATAGGAGAGTTTATGTGCATTATATCCTTGCCAACACTTGGTATTTCTTTTTTTAATTTAGCTATCCTTTCATGTATGTAGTGGTGTCTCATTGTGGTTTTTGCCATTAAAATATTTCATCCTTAATAGTTTTATAGCTTAAGGACAAGTATTCTATCTTTGTTTAGTTGGTTAAAGTATTTCTGGAATTTTTGAGAGGAGAGAGATAAGGTAGCTAAAAATGGAAAAGTTTTGGAGCTGGTTGCTGGTGACTCAATCCTATAATCCTAGCTACTTGTGAGGGTGAGTTTGGGAGAATCATGGTTCAAGGCCAGCCCAGGTAAATAGTTCTTGAGTCTTTACCTCCACAATAAGGATTGGAAAATGAACAAGAGGGGTAGCTTAAGGGATAGAGTACGGAAAAATGATGTGCACAAACCTTGAGACCTTTACCTAATTAAAAAAAAAGAGCCAACACCAACTGAGCCATATTTGAACTCCACCTTTAAAATAATAGACATATTAATGAAAGTATATGTAATTTAACAGATTCAAGATCATTCTTACTACATAAAAATCTTTTCACTGGCTGGGATTAATTTACTAAGTTTTTTGGTTAAGAATGTTCAAGTATGTAAATATTCTTGAGCAAAATATCTATGATAAAGAAAAAACATGTTCATAGCTATTTATAATTTGAGTTTATATTTTAATGAGAATGCTGATCTTTTCTTTCTTAAATACCGGAATAGCCCCTGTCTCCTTTGTAGAACAGAAAGAGCTTCTCTATCCATATCTTCCTTTAGGGTCAGTATATTTTCCACCACATGGACATATTTTTATCCAAGGCACAAGATAAAAATGAGTTCTTCTCTTTGCTTAGCTTCTAACACAGGATCACTTTGCAGAAATAGGAAGAACAAAAATACAGAGTAGAGTTATAGGGTGGATGTGGGTTTGGATATTAACTATGTCCCTTACTGCTTCAGATGAGGAAAACAATCCACTGAACCTTGTGAGCTTTAGTTTCCTCTACTGTAAAATAAGAATAGGATAGCCACATTGCAAGTTACTTTGGGTAGTGGGGGATGGAGAGAGAATGTGAATTAAATGCCTTAGCAAGGAGCACTTCTCTTATTAATTAGTAAAATTTCCTCTTTTAAGATGCGATAGTAGTGTTCTGTCAGATGTTCTTATGTTGTCAACTACCTTCCTTTTCCTTCTAGGGTTGACAACTTTGGCTTGGGCCTTTTACTTCGATCCAAACAGATAAAACGCATGGTCTCTTCGTATGTGGGAGAAAATGCAGAATTTGAACGACAGTTCTTATCTGGTGAACTAGAAGTAGAGCTGACACCTCAGGTGAGAAAATTTACCCAGTTTTCTTTCATAACACTAGCTTGGTGAAAAGTTTATGCCCTCCCCCTGAAAGACTTCTTTGTTAAAACAGAGGGATGCTATAAACCAAGGAGTTTTGTTTATAAGTTACACCTGTTTGTTGCTAAAGGATTAACATTTTTTGCTACCATATACAGAAAAAGGAAGTATTTCTAGTAAAAATATCTGGGCTGCAGGATAAAATTTTGAGTTTCATACTATAATGTACATAATGCCAGATGCAAGGAAAAGCACTTGCTGAAATATTTGGGGATCTTCTCAAAGTCAGTTTCTACAAATCACAGAATTAGAGTTCATGAGTGATGAGATCTTACTGAGGCACATCAGGAAAATGATTCCCACTGAGGGTGAAACTGAGTGTCTCACAGACTAAGTGCTGGGATCTGAGCCCAGGTCCCCAGGGAACTGATGTTCCTACAAAGCAAGTTAATTACTATAATTAATATAGCAAGTTTCCACTCATTTTTTTTTGTCATCCCTAACTGGTTGAATAATTTGTTTTAGAGAAAGGCAAACTTTTTGAAGTCACTTGGGTAAAAAAATGATGTATAAGTTGACTGTGCTGGTCTTTTTACTTTTTTTTTTTTAAATAAGGTAAAAGTAATTTTATTTTATTTTAGTTTTTTATTTTATTTTATCATTTTTACATTTACTTACATGTATATACATTATTTGGGTCTTTCACTTTTAATTAAATTGTATTTATGCTGGTCTAGAGGGGCCATACATGGGGCATGTTTTATCTGACAGGCTTCATAGTGTGACAGTCACATCTGGTCACCCTACAACGTTATCATCTGTACTTAGCATAGCATTGCACTATGTTTGATACCAAATTTACATTTAAAGTTTTGTGGGGAAAAAGAAGAGATATATGTCTGTTTGGGCTGCTATAACAAAATGCCATGGACTAGATAGCTTACACAACAGATATTTATTTCTCACAGTTTAGGAGTCTAGGAAGTTCAAGATTGGGTCCGTCAGTCCACTTCCTGGGGAGGCCATTGAGAGCCAGGAAGAGAGTCTCACTGGGCACGGAGATGGGGGGAAGAACAAGAGCATGAGCCAGCTCTCTGCCCCAAATTGATGACATCCTACAACCTTAATTGTCTTCTTGTAGGCCATATCTTCAAATACAGTAGCGTTGAGAGTTAGGGCTTCACCTTACAAACTTAAGAGGGACACAGTTCAGTCCATACTATATACTTTTTCTTTTCACATTTCAGGTTGAGATATCTCATTATTGGGTTGAGGAGCTATTGAAAATCACCTTTCAGTTACCAGTTGTATCTTTTGCATTGCCCCCTGTTTCCTTCCCCTAGAGGCCATATGTATGGCCTTAATATTTCTTCTTTAAGCTAAAAGAAGTTGATGTCTCTCTTCTGAACATAGTGGCACAAAAATGAACAGAGGGTCTAGCAGCTTCTTCTACAGCTTGAGAGTTTGGGAGTGAAGTGCTGATGAAGTGGTAAGGTTAGGGGATGATGGTGAGGGCTTGGTGGAGCCTATAGAAGGCCCATCTTCAAAAATACTCTACTTTCAGGCCTTTGCCCAGTTGGACAGAGAGAAGGAGTATTCAGGGAGAAAGGTATACATAAAAAAATATCTTAAGGTAGGTGGTATTTCATAGTTGTTTTAGTGATTTAATTTTTTGACTATCACTAATTAAAAATACAAGACAAAGTAGAGTCATCTCTGTCCATTTGACAGAATAGAGAGCCAGTTATCTGGAATAGTTTCAGTTATGCTATGAGTCCTTCCTTTCCCAGGATATCCCACATGCTCAATGAACTCAGTGCTCGAAATCCCAACTGCTAGTCTTTCCTTTAAGGTTTTGAAATATTTAAAGGCCTATAGAGAATAGTTCTCAGGTTAGGGCAATGTGAATGACATTACTACCTATGTCAGTTCTAATCACTGATTAGTCACTTCCTTATCTAGTCAGACAAGATGTAGCAAGACCACAAGAGTAGATTTCAGTGTTAGGGAAGGTTTCAGGACATGTTCAAGGCCAAAGTCAGTGTTCTAGGGGAAACCTGGTCAGAAACTTATATGGGAGTGGGAGACGCTTAGGGAAGCTAGACTTGAAATCACTGGTTCATAGGAGAGGGAAAAGTCATCGCTGCAAAAGAAGATGATCAAAAGGAGTCACAAAGAAACTTCACTTGCAGCTGTTTCTTCCTGTAAAACAAAACTTGAAAAACTCTTGGATTTCAAAAACCAAAATTTATCTGTATGTTGTATTGTTTGCTTACCTTTGGATTCTGTCTTGCTTAGATAATTTAGTAAATACAAAATTGATAAAAATGGTTTCAAATACATTCTAAAATAAATTTGAACTCTTTATGTTGTTGATTTACTGGATTTTGTTTGTTTGTTTTGCTTTGTTGAGACAGGGTCTTGTTTTGTAGCGCAGGCTTGCCCAGAACTCTTGATCTTCCTGCCTCAGCCTCCCAAGTGCTGGGATTATAAGGGAACACCACCAATAAGCCCAGTGGACTTAACTGTTATTAATGATAAAAATATTTAGGCCACACCTATACATGGCACACAGTAAAACACAAAGTTTAATTATTTATGTATGTGTTTTATATAGTTCAGACTTGAAATTTGATTCAAAAAGATTAAACTAGACATTTGTATGATGTGATGTCAAGAGACCAGTGGGGCAGGGGGTGGGGTTCTGTAAGCTGAAAGCATGAAAAATGAGCAGGGAGTGGTTGTTGTCTAGAGAGGCAGAAACTGCTTTTCATTAATCCTCCAGTAGAGGGAATTGTGCACACACATACAGTGGTAGGTACTTTTTTGAATTATAGCTCTCTAGAGAGTGGGAACCATGTCTTAACAGTTCCTGTGTCCTCAGACAAGCATGTGTTTAGTGAACTTTTTATGGAATGTTGGTTGCTCATTTGTAGGGCACACTTGCAGAGAGGATTCGTGCAGGTGGGGCTGGAGTTCCTGCATTTTATACCAGCACAGGGTATGGGACCCTGGTCCAAGAAGGAGGATCACCCATCAAGTACAACAAAGATGGCAGCATTGCCATTGCCAGTAAGCCAAGAGAGGTAAGAAGCACTTCATCCACATAACACTGGAATAACTCTTTCCACATGGGATTCTGTGTGGATTCACTGGTGAACCCACCAATGAGTCACCTTGGAGAGAAAATACATTCATTTATTTAAATATGTTAGGTGAGATTTCTAGCTAAGGCTAGGTATGTGCCAGTAATTAAAGTCATATAGAGTAACTATTATAAGAAAAAAAGAAGCTCTGTCTGTGGGGAAATGGTACATCTGAGAAGTCCAGGAGACTCAAGCGAGGTACTTGGCAGGCTCCAGGTCAGGGGAGAATTTAGAGCCAGGATAGGAGCTTTGGTGGAATTGGCACATGGCTTTTAAACCCTCAGGACCAGTTGGGTGGTTTGGGCCTGTGTGCAGACGAGAACACCTCTTGAACAGTTAAAGATCAGGAGGAGAAGGAGAAGCAGCAAAGGGGACTGGGAAAGAATGAGGAATAAGTGAAAAGGAAATGGCAGGGGAGTCTGGTGATTTGAAAGGCAAGGTATATTTTGTAAAGAAGGGAAGAGCTGAGTCAGAGTTTTAAGAGTCTGGGTAATACAAAGGTTAGAGCTGGCCAGTGAATTTGCAGAAAGGAAGGTCACTGGAAACCTTAAGGAGTAGTTTTTCTAGAATTGAAGGGATGAAAATCTGACTGGAGTAGTTTCCAGAAAAAAACTAAAGATGAAGTAGAAACAGAAATGCACAACTTATTCAAGTGAGTATAAGAGCTAGTTTGACAAAATTAGTTCCTTTACTATTTTAAAGTTTAGAATAGGTAACTCAGCAACTGCTAGTGTTACCTATTCTACATCAGGAATTTCTATAATTGGAATATAAAAGAAAAGCCAATTTCTTTTTGCCTTCTTCTTGACTTAGTCTTGTGTTAGAAAATGTTTACCTCCATTTTCTAGCCATGTATGTAAAACACTCAGCTATATATCACGGGTATATAGTGATAATTCTTAAAAAGTATATAAACTACTTAAAATCATAACTTTGCTATCTATATTAATATCTTTCAAATAAGTTTATATATTAATAAGATCTTCACTCATCAGTGATTCCCTAAGTTCATTAATATTTCTAGAAACTGGGATGATATCTTTAAAGAAGTTTTTCTTTAAGAAACAGTTTCTGTTTTAAAGCATAATGTACAAAGTAAAGGCTGGGGATGTAGCTCGGTGGTATAGTGTTTGCCTAGCGAGCACAATGCCATGGGTTCAATTCCCAGTATTAAAAAAAAAGTTTAAAAAACAAAAAAGAGAGAAAAGAAAAAAGACCAAACCAAAAAACAAAAAACCCTAAAGCAAGTGTACCTTAACTTTCTAGGGCTTTTTGTATAATGCAGTTAGTCGTTATATCCACTAGGGGGTGCAGTAGGAATGAGATTGGAGTTCAGCCTTCACAAGGCTCCATTCTGTGCAGGGATGGAGTGGTCAATGGTGATTGTTGCTACTCTTCTTTGTTTAATTCCCATGGACACATCACCCCAAATAAAAAGCGGACATAATTCAAAGACGGAGCTTTGCTTTATGTTCTCCCTCAAGGTTCAAAGTGGTATTAGAAGGCAACAAACAAACAAAATCAATAGCATTTCGTTAGATTGGAAATGGCAGAAGAGGTATAATGAAATAAAACACAGCATTCATAGTAACATTCAGAGAAACCATGGAATACTCAAGAATAAACCTAACAAGAATATACAGAGCTTTTAGAGAGGGAATGATAAAACTATTGAACAAGGTAAATGAAAACTTCAGTAAAAGGAGGCTCATATTATGCTTGCAGGTGGGAAGTATATTTCATTTTTTTCCAGACTAATTTACTAATTTATGATTCCTAATTAAAATAATAATTATAGATCATAGATTACTGAGCATAGATGAATGGATTTTTATAAATATTTTATGTACAAGGTCCATTTCATGTAACTTATATAGATTTTTTTCTGGGTGGGTGGAAATAGGGACTATTTTCCATCTTCTAACACAGTATATAATAAAGTTAATATTAACGCAGTCTGTTCTACCCCTCATACTTGTAGAACCTTTAGTTCCTCAAATACACTTTCTCTTATCTCGGGGCCTTTGTACATTCTGTACTCTCATTTCCCTTTTGACCATTTTGACAAAGTCTTAGTTGCACAGTGCTACTTAAGAAGTCTCCATTGAGTTTCTTCTCCCTCTGAGAAACCTTCCCTCACTATGCTTGTACCCCTTTTGTCTCCCTTCTATAAGAGTGCACATTAAAATCAAAGGAGGCCTGTGCAAATGACTGACAATGCCTTCTTTGTATCCTGCAGGTGAGGGAATTTAATGGTCAGCACTTTATTTTGGAGGAAGCCATCACAGGAGATTTTGCTTTGGTGAAAGCCTGGAAAGCAGATCGAGCAGGAAATGTGATTTTCAGGTATTGTGATAATTTAAAAAATATGAATGTAATGCATGTCAGCAAGTCTATATTTCCTAAATTATGATAAAAAAAAGATATAGTGAGCTTGCTAGTTCAACATTCATTTTAAAAATGGCATATAAACATATATACCCATATGTCGTGTACACATAGACATGTGTGCAGTTCTGCTGCCCTGCAGTCTTGCTGGTATGATGCACTTTGCAGGTCTGTTCTGATTGGTTGAAGTCCATGTTGTACTGCTTGTTAAATATTTGGATCTGTGTATCCTTATACATAGTCACACACACTTACTTTTTTTTCTCCTGTATATTTTAATTGTCAAGACTAGATTTTTTTCTTAGAAAACATAACAGCACAAAATTTTAATTTTGATATTGTTATTTTTTATATAATAAAATATCAAAATTAATTTGATATTCTGGAAAATATTTCTAGTTTTATTGATATTTCTCAGGAAGTGCTTACAAAGATTGTATCAGAAAATTGGTTATCCTTAATAATGCTGGAATTTCATCCTCAGGCTTACATGATTTGTAACACCTCTTGATTACCTTAAACATATTAAATTCTGAGTACTTAGTGTCATGGCTTTGTACATTATGTAAGTGTGTTTTGAATAGTGTGCTGTCTTTGACTACCCACACACTAGACCCACAAAAATGTGTCGTCTTGAAGACCATAGCTATTAGGTTACAGAAATAACTTTCTCATAATATTATTGTTTTCTGCTTTTAATTAACAATTTTTTATTCTTAGCAAATGCAGTTTTGCTGCAACCACAGTTAAATTCCCAGTGGCACCCTTATGTTGTTTTTATTTCTGAAGAACTTATGTGAAATTAACACTGTAGTATCTGGAATTTAGCCAGTTTATTTTAAAGTACAACTACTTTTGATAATTATAAGAGACATTTTACCTCATATCTACTTTATTTGAGGACATTGATGTAATGTTTGCAAAGTATAGATGTCTTTTAAACAATATTAATGAAATTGTATAGTGGCAAGTGGAAGTGAATTAAATTATTTCTAGGAGTTTATCCTGTGCTCCATTGGCTGACCACACAAGGGCCTGACCTTATTATGTTGGTGACTATTGAGCTTTGGTGTGAAATAAAAGCTCTCCTTGCAGTGGTCAAGTGGACCAGATTCTCAAGGTAATGAATCCTTGACATTTAGTGGACAATGGTGCAGAGGTCTCTAGACCATTGTTAAAGTCTAGGAGCCTTGCACTCCTTCACCTTGGCCACTGTGCCTGTGGAGCTTCTGATGCTTGGACATTAAGTGGAACCCAACCTGGCAACTTGTAAAAGTTCACAAGGATCCTTTTTTAAGAACATTCCTTGTCTTTGAATCTGAGAAAAAGAAAAGTGCTAGTAAAACATAGCCTTGATTGATTTTCGTATACAATAGAAATTCCTCCACTGATGTATATTCCAAACAAAAACCAAAAATATATTTTAATTTTTATAGTTAGGGGTAGTGTCTTAGTTGAGGAACTTGGGAATGTAAAACCATTAGGAAAACTGGCACCTTCTTGAAATTTTTACACATCAGGGCCTGATGTGGATGTTGTACTTTTTAAAATTTCATGAGAAAATGGTCCTTCAGAATGATCTTTATGTGTGATTCACAGATTACCAGTGCATGTTTCATATTCTGTCAATAACAGGCTCTGTTTAGTAGTGAATGTACTTCACAGGTGAAGTACTTGGTACTTTTCCTATCCTTTCTATTTTTGTTTCATTTTTGGTGGCGCTGGGAACTGAACCTGGGGCCTTGTACATGCTTAGGCAAACCATTCTACCACTGAGCTATATCTCCTCAGCCCTTTTCCTTTCTTAATATTTTAATGGCAGCATAGTGAAATATTTAAATATAGTAACAAAGTAACACCCTAGTTAAAAGGTTAAGAGAAATTTGTTTCAAATCTATTAATACCCATATTATTTTTTATGTCTAAGCTGTTTGTTGAACATGAAAAGTATTTCTTTTTGTTCACCCTTTATAAAAAACCATATAAACAATGAAGTGGTCATCATATTTTTTTAAATTTATAAAATATTTACAAAGTTTCATTAATGGATAACATGAATAAACTTTTTAAAAAGATTCATAGATTCTTAGTGAATAGAAATTCTTTTAATGTACAACCTTTTAAAGTTAAAAGAGGTGCTTTTATTTTTGATCTTTCAACATTTCCCTATTTCCCCTATGTCTGATGTAGGAAAAGTGCAAGGAATTTCAACTTGCCGATGTGCAAAGCTGCAGAAACCACAGTTGTAGAGGTAAAAGAATAGTCTATTTCTGAATTCTGGTGTTAATTTTTTTAAACTTTATGTTATGCATTCGTTAAGAAAAAGTGTAACTATCCATTTGTTTTCTGAAGGGCAAACAATGACAGCTTTTTTTTTTTTTTTTTTTTTTTAGATTCTATTTAAATATGTATAGCTAGTAAGATGGCAGTTTTCTGGCCAGCAGGGGTCTCACCTGAATGCTCTCTTTGGGAATTTAACTGTGGGACCAACTTATAAAAGTCTTTTGGTCTTTGAATAAAATAGGGTAAAAATTGCATGGTATACTTATATACAATCATGCTTCACTTCATGATGGGGATACTATCTGAGAAATAAATTTTCAGACAGTTTTATCACTATACACTTACACAAATTAAGAAGGTTTTGGTGTCATTGTGGGGCCATTGTTATCATCCAAATACATGTCATTATATGGTGCATGACTGTATGTGGAGTTTCAGGAAAACAGTAGACTTCAACAGAAGAGCTTTATTATCTTACTGAGGTTAATTCCGTGAATTATTTAAGAGAGGAGGATCATACAAGTTATTGCTCTGACGTGATTCTGCTTGGAGCAGTTGAATTTAGGCACTGATTGGCTCTTTTGGGCATCTGAGGGCTTGGGAGAGGCTTGAATAATTCCAGAGCCTTCCCAAAATTAAGGCTAGGGGATGAAAATGTGTGTATACACCAAAGTCTAGCCATTTTGAGAATATATATACATATATATATGTATATATACTTATATACTTATATATTTATATTTTAACCCCAAAGGTGACGTCAAAATGATTCTCAGCTTTGCTTTGAGGATCACATTGGAACAAACTATTTATAGAAATTTGAGATATCTTTTCTTTGGGAGACTTTATGGGGACCCACTTTGGGATTTGGAAATGAGAATGCATGTTCTGATTTTTCACCTGATGGTGGTGGTGTGTATAGCATCACTGAGGTGGTACTTCATGGAGGTAGTTCAAGGTATTTTTGAAACAATCAAATGTTAGAGTTCTGTTTCTTTCATGGAAAGTAAAGTGCATTATTCTTACAGCACTGGGGGATGTGGTACTTTCTACACAGTCATGGTGGTTTCTTTTGCAGTGCTTTTAATTATATTTTCTACATTGAAAATGGATAATGTGATTTACCCTCTCTGTGAAGTCTGGTCTTATTTATTGAACCATTTTAGTGACTTGTCTGTGGTCCATGCCTGTTGCATTACTGAAGAAAGGCATGTCATGTAGTTTGAAATAATTGATATTTCAACACTTTATTAATATTACATACTTCTACAAAACTACCAGAAACTGACATTTCTTCCCTGAGTTTAGAGGGGCATTATATATTATGTTGAGTGAAGTTCTAGTTAAATTGTTTTTTCTATTATAATCTGGTTTTCTTCAGGCACTCTTATTTGTTACAAGAGTAAAAATGTCTTTCTAGTGTCCAAGAGTCGTTGAGTCTGAGACATTCTCTTTTGGCATAAGGGAAGAGAAAATGCTTTAACTGAACCTGCAAATATGCTGCCCCTCCCTGATCCGGAACAGAAACCTCTGATCCATCATAGCTCTGTTCTGGCAGGCCAAGACCCACATTAGGGTCCCTTTTGATACACTCCCAGTTGACTGCACTGTCAGTAGTCAAATGTGACTTTACATATTTAATTACAATGAAATACAATTTAAATTCAGTTCCTCAGTCATACTTGTCACCATCCTAGAGCTCATTGGCTTCATGTGGCTAGTGACTTCTAATCCTGTATTGATCCGTGTATAGATAGACCATTATTATCAGTGCAGGAAGGTTTATGAACAGAGCCGGATTAAAAGAATCAAGATGAAATCCATATGCTATTCTAGTTTAGGAACTTAAGTAAAATAGTTATTTAGGCAATAGGATTATTATAAGCCTACCTGTCTGGATGTTCATAGGAGGAGGAGTCCACATGGCCATAGATTGATTTGTAAGCATGGTACTCACAAAAGTAGGAAGTAATTTGGAACTGGGATGGTGCCTAGATATGAATCTCTATTGTGACTTTGGGACTGTTGTATTATTCTGAGTCTAAAGTACCCTGGACCTCCACCCCGCTGTTCTGTGTATATCCTTTGTCATCCATTGTCTGCATTGGCCTACAGATTTTTATGATCCTTCTCTTCTAACTCTATGCTGCTCTGTTTTATAGTGTTCCTAGTGAGATGGATGATTATGAGTTGCTCTGAAGGGTGATATTTAAGAGGAGTCTTGAGAGATCATTAAATCACCTGCATATTCTTCTGACAATAATTATAGCTATCGTTAATCAATAATTTATTATATATCAGTCACTGCTGATTATACATGTGTATTATTATTTTTAATTTTTGCAATAGCCCTTTAAGGTAGGAACCATAATTATCTTTATTTTACAGATGAAGACTTTCAAGCTCAGAGATATTAAATTGTGTACCACAGGTTACATAGCTAGGTAGAATGAGAATAGAACCACAGAAAAATTGATTCCTCAGCATCTGCTCTTTCTATTATGTTATGAAGTACTTCATTCATCACAAATGGATGTTTCAAACTCTTGAAAAACATTGAACATCCAGAGGTCTAGGCCATTTCAATGCCATTAGAATTAAACAGAAATGGTGGTTTTTGTTTACCTATCACCAGCCTTCCTTGTCAAGTAACCTGACTACAGTTGCTTTTCCATCAGTGCCATCTTTCTTGGAGGTGGCTTTGAGAAAACCATCATCCTATGAACACAGCCCTATGGACTGAGGCTGTTTTTCTCCTGGACTCTGCACATTCTTCCCACGGGTCTCTTGATCCTTATAACTTCTTATCTATTTCCCTAATCTTAGTGATTGACATCTAATCTAGTACTGCAGTATATCTGCTCTGCACTATTGCATTTTCAACCTTTCTCCCTGTTTACCTGAGTTCTGATTTGATTTTTAAGGAATGTAGAACTATAAATATCTAAAATATTAACATTCTTTAGATTTTATAAGCAGGTAGCAAAGGAACATAAAAACTACCCACCTCTTGCCTTTTCCTCCCTCATACTTATTTTCTAATTACACAGTATTTTTTTTTTCTTTGAGTCAGGGTCTAACTATGTAGCCCAGGCTGGCACTAAACTCATGATCTTTCTGCCTCAGCCTCTCAAAGTGCTGGAATTATAGTTGTGTACCTCCATGCCCAGCTCAATAACATAGGAATTGATTTACAATAAATGTTGCATGTCAAGAAGTAAACCAATTTATTTATCCTGAATGAAAAAGAAAATTAAATTTGCCTTTAATGCTAATTATCTCTAGTTTCTATAATGGGAAGCATTACTCCTTTTTGGAAAAGTTTTCCCTCTCTGCTGTTCTCTAAACAAACTTATGAGTTGTGTACAACTGAAGAGGTGACCAATGAAATTATGTCTGTTTTTAGCAAAGCCAGCATGGCTATCACACTTATCTTTTTCAAAGCTATCAGGCTTCTCCACAAAGTTATGACATAGTCAGTGCTGGTTGTGTCTTTCACCCCTCTTAAGGAACTGGATAGTTACTTGGGAAAGATACTACAAGTGGGTGCACAAATTGGTGTGCATGCCAGAAAGATGTTTCTCTTTTTAACCCAGACAGTGTTGTTTCTGGACCTCCCTCTCTTTGAGTGGGTGGAGTCTTTCCTGATAAACTTCACCAGTTGATTAAGGAAAACCAGAATGACTCCTGATGCTGCATTGTGTGTATATGATGTGGAGCAGCAAGGGCTCCTGAGCCTCTTGAAGGGGACTCATTTGGCTTGTTCTCAGGAGGAGACTTGTTAAGCCACCCAGCTCCCTGAGCTCCTCTGCCTGGCTCCTGTGTGCATAACCCACCATCCTGGCTTTCTCTTGTCTCTTTTTCTTCTTCTTTTCATAGGAGCTTATAATAGAAAACCTGGGAGGAGGGCCAGGAGTGCTTCACTCAGGGGACTGCTGATGCTTTGTCTCCTGCTAGCAGCCTGGCACGCACGTGCTGTCAGGAAAGGTCGTCTGACTCAGCCACCAAAGGCTGCTAAGGCTGCCTGTGACCAAAATAACCTGGCTGGCTTGGTTTTCTTTGTGCCAGCAGGCTTGTTCCGTGGCTGTCATCATAAGACAGCAAAGATATACATAAATTGCTTTCAACTATTTTAGTTAATTTCAACTTTTTGTTAAAATAGGTATACTCATTATAATCACTTAAAATTATTTCTATTGTATAGTATTTATACTATGGTATATTGTGCCTAAGAAAGAATTGTTTACATTACATGATATTTGATGCACACAGATAATATATACATGTAGGCTGTGTGGCTTATGAAGTACAATGAATTGAACACCTGTGAACCCTCATAATGTAAGAATTAGAACCTGTCTCCTTTCCACAGATAACCACTGTCAGGAAGATTGTGTTATCAAGCTATGTTTTTCCTTTTCTTTTCTTCTTCTTCTTCTTTTTATTTTAAATTCTAGGTCATAAGGTATGGGCACATGGAAAATTACTTTCCAAAATGATATTCTAAGACTTTTCATAATATTTATAAGAAGCAAGCCTTCGGAACTGTGACTTCTGTGTTCTGTATGTACCCAAGCCTGGCAAATTCCATTTCTCGTTAGGAGATTAACTTGCAGAAAAGTTTAAGAGAATATCTGCCAGCCTGCTGAGCAGACATGGGTTGTATTTGGTTAGCAAGTGCAGAAGGTGAAGGCTTCAGTGTGAAGAAGTTGTAACTTTTTGTTTTAGATGTTTATAATGGCAGCAGTTTATGAAGCATATGCAGGAGAATGTAATGGACTTTGCTGGCCCCAACGCCCAGCTTCAGTGGCTGTCAACCTAGGGAAGTAGGGTTGCCTCATCCCCTCCCCATCACCTTCTCTCCTTCTCCCTCCACCTGCATTATTTTCAAACAAGTACCAGATATCTTATTTTAAGGAAAGTCCACTCACGTCAGAAATTCTAGTGCACCAGGTACTTACTAGATTC